ATATCATGCTTATCTATTACAATTCCATTGAATCTGTTCCTGCTCTCTACTCCATGTCCCGAGACTATATGTATATATAATTATAGTTGACATACTATATTATTCAAAAAGTACCATTCTTGATGGGACCAATGTCTAGAAAAATAAGTAGCAGGCCACAGGTAATATGTTTCACATTTTAAACCCCCACTTTCTAAAAATATATTTATAGCACTATATGAAGACTGCTTCAGATTCCAAAAGCAGAAAAAAACATTGCCTCTGAGAATCAAATTCTAAGAAATTCAAAGCCTACCATTATAGTCTTTGTACTGTCTTTATATTTCCAATAAACATAATTAAGCTCAAATCTAAATTTAGAAAGTGTACCTTCTTTTAGGTTTATAAACTAAAACTCTACATTTCCTTGATGATATTTATGAGCAATCAAGCCACTCAATCAGAAGTATCACATTCTTTGTGCTTCCCTTATTCTATGCTGTAATAATTTGTTTATGTATTTGAAGCTGTCATTTTCTCTTTACCAGATCCCGAGTATCTTGAAAAGAGAAGCCATTTCTACTAAAAGTATTGTGGTAGGCCCAGAATTTAGCACTGGATTTAGCTACTGAATTTACTGAATGAAAATACTTAGTAAAATGTAAGAAGTTTATAATTCTATAGTACACATAATTTCATCCTGTATTTTTTCTGATATGAGGAAAAATTGTTAGAGTATTATAAAAATATTATAGTATTGTATGCCAGCATTACCAAAAGGCATCACTCCAAATGCAGTGCATATAACCTAGTCAGAGCTCCCCTTCTCTCTTCTCTCCCTGTTTATTATCTAATTCACATGTTCATTACACTGTGAATGAATGTTAGGATTCTGAAATAAAACTAATTTTAAATTGCATTTTACCTGAAGCATTGTTAACAGAATAATGATAATGTCCAATGAAAGAAATGCTTGAGTGCTTAAAATAAGGGAAGTAACATGGTCAGTATTTAAAACAAATGTTTTCCAGAGTTGAGTTTAAAGTAATTTGCATGAATTAAGAAAAATTAGCATATTGTTAAACAAAGAAATAGACAAAATCCCAAACAAACAAAATTTTGACATAATTTAATTAGGCATTGAAGGCAAGACTTTTATGCAGCTTACATTATCTCACATATACCCAAGCTTACATGGCTATACAAGCATTTTATTTTAGAAATATTCAACTGAAAGTGGTGTTTAAAATATTAGCCCCACATGCTTTTATTTATACTAATTCTTTCATAAAAAACCACCCACTCTAAAATCTTTAATAGATAAAACAGTTAATGGAATTAGTACCCAATCTTCACCATTTTTTTTTCATTTAACTTTTTATTTCCTATAGGGTATATGAATGTGTGCCCCCCTCAATATTCCCAATGCAAAATAGAGAAACCACATTCATTCTGTTCTCTGACAAACGTTTTGTAGTTTTTCCTTTTTTCTATAATAATAAACTTAACACCATCTCTGTTCTTCCTTTTCCTTTATTCCTTTTCCCTAATCTATCACGAAGAACTGTCATATTTGCTTGCTTTCATGTCTTCTGCAATAGCATGCCTCCCTATTTCCACTGCTTCTATCAGGACTAGGCCATCATTTCATGCTTTGACAGGACAAGATAATTTTCAATGATCCCTCCTACTTCTAGTATTTGATTGTTAATTTTTTAAAACTGATAATGCTGACCAGATTGTAGATTCTTGTACTCAACTACAACAGTAAAAATACAGCTTAGGAGTTTGCAGGTACAGGGCACTGGAGATGACCTAGAACAACCACTTGATGTTACTCACCAAAGTGTGTTGACAACCTTGGTCTATTCTGGTCATACAATTTTTACTACATTTTCCTTAAATGCTCTGCATTTCAATTTGACACTCTAGAATAGTGCACATCTACTTTATCGTTCATGCTTTATTAGTGGTCTTCATATCTCAAAATATCCCCTTCTCATTATCTTAGTTAGGCTTTAGCTGGTAACTATGCCACTTACCAGCTACACAACTTGAGACAAGCCTCAGGTTTCTCAGTGTAAAATGAGATTAATAATAAAAACAATAAAATTACTTTTGCTTCATAAAATTGTAAGGACTGTATTACAAAAAGCATGTATATATAAAGCGTTCAGTAAAGCACCATTAAGTAAATCGTATTGTTATTGCTATTGATATTATTATTATTATTAATTCCATGCCATGTCCCTGTCACACCAGCCCACATTTCATAACTCATTCCAGCCTCTGTTAACTCAGCATATTGAGCACTACATTATTCAATATTAATTTTGCTCTAATTGCTTTGTATGTTTACACAGTGAGATACTTGTATGTATATTTTCAGAGAGGGAACTGATAGGATATTTAATGGGTAATCACTGGGTTATCATATGTTTTTGATATTTTTTAAAATTGAGAAATATTATTAAAAGATAAAATGGAACCAATATCATTCAGTGTGCATCATGGACCATAAAATAGTAATTAGAAATATGTTTGAATATTGTATGGCACACAGTATTGCCATATATTTTTATTCCTTAAAACTATAAAACACACACACATATACACACTCATACCCCAAATAAAGAGCTTACCTTAAGATTGCTCTGAATTCAGCTTCAGAAATGACCCAAAGTGGATATCTACAAATAAATAATTATGAAATTATAGTCAGTTAACTTGAAAATAAAGATGTTTTTACTTTTAGCAATGATTTAAAACTTTTTTCTACAATAAATTTGTTTCATTTTAATCCACTAGAATTTTTATTTGTTGCTTTGAACATTACAGTAAAGTTTTGGCATATTTGTAAAATGCATTAATAAAAATCAGTAAATACTTTTAAGCTAAAGGGTTTGACTTTTATTTTTATGGCTTACAAAATCTATTGATATCTTCTATCCCAAATATCATCTTATGCAGCATTATTGAATTGTATTTACAATTAACATTTAAAATAAAAGTTTAATAGTAATGTTGCTGAACTTGCACCATTTTATGATGCTGAACACTAAACTGTAATTTATTTTAGAGGAGCATGTGTATACACCATACATACATTCTATGTGTACATGTGTGTCTATCCCATATGTGTGTCCACATATTGATATATGTATAGCATGATAATACACACACTCACACACATGCACATATGCACATACAGTTAAATTTAAGAAAAAAGCCAGGTAGATGTAAAACATTTGGTACAGGGAATCAAATATTTGGGTGCAATCGAATGGATCAAATTCAAGTGTTTGGATAAACTTATATTTCAGTGATGTTAACTAAAATAACAGCAACNAAAGAGTAATTTTATTTGTCTATAGTAAGCTTTTAGGTACCTATTTCCCTGGGGAAAGGTTATAATAGGACCTTTCATAACTTGATAAGTTATGGCTCAGCCCTCCAAGAGCAAGTCACTGAGTAAATTTTCCAAGAGGTCACTTGGGGTCAAAGATGAATCCTTTTGTGATTTCATGTTAGTGGAACCTCTTTGAAGGACTTGTGTTCCTGTTTGAGGCTGTTGGCAGGAAAGGATACCAGGAGTCTCAAAGAGGGTCAAGTCGCCTTGAGGAAAGGGAGAGCGCGGGCAGTAACTCACGCTCAGTACCGTGGTTTGGAGGTTCCTGAGAAAGCCTGAGGCCTGCAGCCTTTTCTGTCCTGGCCATTATGTGATGGTGGACATTTTAGGAACAGTGGCTGAGCTGCTTCTAGATAACAGTATGCAAAATCACCAGTTGGAATGTGATGGGGAGCCAATTTTCCACGGCAACTCCATATCTAGTGACACAAAGCAATGGATGGGCTTCCCAGTTTTCGCTGTGTTTGGGATTTGGAGGCAAGGTGGGAAGTCCTTTGAGAATCTTGGGCAAAGGGAGTGGGGTTGGAGAGGACCTCAAGAGAGAGATATTGAACTTCCTGCTATTATGAGCATGCCAAGTTTAGAGTAGAGCAAAAAAAAAAAAATTAAAGAGTTATAACTGCATACGAATTCCAGTTGTTTTTATTTTTTTATGGTGAGATGAAACTCAGAGAAGATATTTACCGTGCTTAAAAAGTCACAGATGGTAATTCAAACCAATTGTGTTTGACACTTATATTCGATCCTCTACAAAAGAGATGTCACAAGACTTTATATATATTTCAGATAAAATTATACATCTAGCAAAACTTAGCAAATTATTATTCACTAATAGTTAGTAAAATGTCTTCTCAAACTGCAGATGAATGCCATTGTGCAATTCTGGGAAAAATTAAAGCTTATGTTTGCTTTCTTAAAAGTTCACAGTCACTTTATTTTATTCTTCATTGAATCTAAGGCACTAAATCCCCTGTGCCTTTTTAGATTTCCTTTGATTAAATAAGGAATTCTTGTTTTGATAAAATGGAATAGAGTCATGAGGTTTTCTGACATTAGTCATACTCAAAAAATAAAAACACAGCTTTTAATATCTATCTATAATTCATTCTAATATAACTAATGAGGAACTCAAGTCAATAAATATTCAATATAATGCGACTGTGCAAGGGAAATAACAACAAGGAGAGTCTGCCAAAATTTTCTATAATAAATAGCCTTTAATGACACTGAAAAATAATAGGGCTAGAACAATTTTCCCAGTGTTCCTGAAAGCACCAAGCAGAATAGCAAAACCACATTTAGTGCTAAACAAATTCCTTTTGCTTGGTGAGAGCTGCCAAGTCCTGAGTAAACTGTAGCATTTAGGAAAGTCCATGGAATTGTTGAAAATCTTGTCTAATGGAGTGAATCCTTATGACAACCATGGAAGACCCACAGAGTTCTTGAGAATTTTATACAGGCAGAGACACTGCCAATTTGGACTGAAGGAGTCAGAAAGTATGATGGGAGATGGTCTCAACCTGCCACTGTTGGCTTTACAAGTTAAAAAGGACCCCAATGCCAAGGCATATGACAGCATCCGGAAGCTGGGGGAAACCCTCAATTTAGAGCCAGCAACAAAACAAGAAGCTCAGTCCTACGACCGCAAGGTACTGAATTCTGCCAACAACCCAAATGAACAAGAAATTGATTCAATTCTCCCCTAGAGCCTCCAGAATTAAATGCATCCTGCCTACACTTTGATTTTAATCTGGTAACATTTGTACTGGATGTCTGACCTATAGAACTATTAGACGATAAATCTGTGGTGTTTTATGACATTGTGTGGTAATTTGTTATGGCAACAAGAGAAAATTAATACAACAGTAACCATACTGATTTTTTTCTGAATCTGATCATTCCAATATAATATATCTTTGTAAGACTATATCTTCTGTCATTTTTTTTCCAGCCTTCTCTCAAATCTATTTTATTCTTTATGTTTGGTAATTTTTAAATTGTTTACTAATTTCTTAAGAAATTTATCTTGGAAACATTGAATTTGGGTTTATACTGCAAACAATTTCCTTTGCTTTTATTCACTGACTGTGAATCTGGGCCTACTTACATTATTGGTTGAAGTTTGTTGGACCACACAGATAAATTCTGTCACCAAACCTCAGTGGAGGCTGTCTAATAGTTNATTTGCTACTGGGTTATATAATGGCAATTCGCTGTTATGTTTAACTTTCATTTTTCCTTGTCTGCTTTGCACTCTGTAGAAAAAGATTTAGGCTACCACTTTCATTTTATAAAACCTAGAACTACAGTTCTGATACCAAATCTAACAAAGCACAAAAAAGGAAAAACTAGAAGTGGTCATAGGTGATAAATAATAAATAAAACCTTAACAAATCAAGTTCCACATGGATTCAAAGAATGCTCTTTTGGGTAAAAGGCTAGTTTGATGTTAAGAAATCTACAGATTTATTATAACACTCTGGCAAAGAGAAGTTTAATGTGGATGTGGAGAGGAGAGAACGCGTAGGTTGAATACTGCAGGGCATGCAGACACTAGACTCGCTAGACTGATGAAGTGCATGCTATTAACAATGGCCCCAAGCAGCACTCAAGTGTGAACTTCAGCGAAATAACAGGCTTACATAAGTCATAGGTCTCTGGTGATATTTCAAGATTAGATGGATCAAGGAATGTTAAAGTAGCAAATATCAACGGTGTAAAATTAAAAAGTAAGAACCTCATGAATGTGCATAGCATATTTTCTAGCAAAATATACATTAATATGGAAATATTACAAAGATGTTAGCAAAACAATAATTTTTAAGGAGAATTTTAGACAAAAACTTATGTAACCATGAGAAATGGCCAAATGACTCATATAATTTTTAAACACTCCATGTCACATATTCTCTAAATATTTAGAGAATATGTGACATGGAGTGTTTCAAAATTAAACACAATATAAGAGGAAGTGAAAATAGGATATTAATATATATCCTATGTGTGTGTGTGTGTGTGTGTGT